TTCGACGACGACTGGCCACAGTGATTGCGGACTGAGTTTCCAGTAGACAATGTCGGTATGGGCGTCAATGGCCTCGAGCACATAGGACCGCTTCAGGAGGCAGTTGGACTTGTAAAACGGACTGTCCATCTACACGCGATTTCATATACTGGACAGAACGTAGTAGAAGAAGGGTACCTGCAGCAGCATGTCCAAGACGCGCTGGCTGCTCGCGGGAATGTGCAGTGAGGCTTTCATTGGCGGCCACGCCGGCGACGGCACCGGGTGCGCATACACGCGCAAGTTGGAGTTTTGCGCGTACAAGCTCCAGCGGTCGAGGCCCTGGAGCCAGCGAAATTGCTTGAGCATCGAGCGTGGCAGGGACCCGAGCGACGGCCGGCGCACAATTTTCGGCGGCGGCGCGATGGCCCGAGTGGTCTTGGGCGTTTTGGACGTTGGTGGTGACGTTGGCGGGAGCCGCGACTCGGTCGCTTCGTCCACGTCGCGGTCCTGGGCGAGGTACCAGTGCACGTATTGATGCCAATGAGCCTCGGCCTGCGCAATGCACTCGAGGATGCTGTTGCGCCACCAAAGCGCCGTCTCGAGCGACTCGGCAGCGAGTGACAAGGGCGCGACTGAGCTCTTGGTGAGAAGCGTGCTGGCGCTGGCCGTGAGCGCTGCGGACGAGACCGCCGCGGCGCCAACGCCGACAAGACCGATGCCGGCGAGGCCCCCCGTGAGAACCTAAAGACACAAGCCCTCGGTACACAGAGGAATGCAAGGGCAGCGACGTACAACGGCCGTGGCAGCCGCTGCGAGTTTCTTCATGCGCGCCTTCTTGATGTTGGCTTTCGGATCAAAGTCAAAGTCAAAGCCGTCACCAGATGTGGTGCCCGGCGTCGCCAGTGGCGTCATGGGCATCGCTTCGTTGTACTCTTCCGACTCTTCCGAGTACGTGCTCGAGTAGTGCCGAATGCGAAAGGTGAAGAGTCGCTTCGACTCCATGAGGCTTGGCGACTCGCGCACTTCGTCGACCGTGCAGCCGGGTCCTAGCGCATACCAGCCTATGCACAGCCTTTGAGCACGATCGCAGTCGGCAAAGAGGCGTACCTCGGGGCTCGCGGTCGCCCTTCTTTCGAAAGTAGCACAGGATATGCGTCCCGTTGGGCGCCGACCGCATCATAAAGTACCGTTCGCGCCAGAGGTTGACGTGCTGGCCCTTCTTGCGCAGGTAGCCCTCGATGCGGATCTCGCCAAGCGACGCGACGTCTTCGCCCGCCGGCACCGACCGGCCGCTGGAGGATGCACCGCGCAGCGCGCGCTCGAGGCGCATCTCTTCGACGAGCACGAGCAATTTGGGCTTGATCCAGTCGCGGAGGAGATCTTCGACTTGCAGGTCAGCGTCCATGTCCGACGCTTGGCGCGCGACCGCGGCGCGGGCCTCGGCTTCCTTGACCAAAGACTCCTTGGCCATGTCTTCGCAGAACTTGGAAATGCGCGCGGCCATTTTGGCCGACACGGTCTTCTCGGGCAGCATGATGACCTTCCAGAGCTTGACGAGCGACGCCTCGAGGATGTGGATACCGCTCTCGCTGCTCGCGTAGCGCGCGGTGAAATAGTCGTTGCAGATCATGTCAAAGAGCATCGAGATGTCCTCGTTGTTGCTGCTTGTGTCTGGCGACGGCGCTGACGACTCGCCGAACTCCTGCGGGCCATGGAAGCTCGCGGGACGCCGGTTCAGGCGCACGGGCGACTCGGTCGCGGCCGGTAGCATCGATGGGCTGCGCCGGGAGAACGGGTCCGGCTCCGCGAGCTGGGACGAGCTGCGCCCGCGGGCCAGCGTCGCCGGCGCCCGGGGGGAGGTGGTCGGCAAGGTAAGGTAAGGTGGCTCTGGGACCCACGTTCCATTGGCCAAAAGGTGCGATACTTCCACAGTATTATCCAATCACCACGCATTTTGGGCTCGTGCGCACGAGGATTGGACAAAATCACGTGGCACGATCTTCGTATGGGCTCGTTGGCGTCGTCATCATCATCATCAACACGCTTCGTGCAATGGGAAGCTGCCAGCAAACATGCAATATCCAGCATGCGATGCCATGCCATGTACGAGGTTGATCCTTGCGTGGACCATCACAACGCACGTCAACTCGCTCGGTGTCTCTGACCTTTGGGGCAGTCTATGCATCTTGGTGCAGCAAGGAACGACGCCAATTAGGATGACTTGTGGCATGTTCCATTTCAATATTTACTTCATATTATATAATAGACTTGCGCTCTACGCGTGGCGCTGACGAAACTCGGCAAGTCGTCGTTGCGCGTGATCGGGTTGAGTTTCAGATGGGCCATCGCCTTTGTCATGCGACCGGCGGATGATCGCGCCGCGCTTCTCCTTGGAGAAGGTGACATCGGGGCTGTTGGAGAGGTACCGGAGACCGGCAAAGTGTCGACATGCCAACGTGATGATGCCGATGATCGAGTACGTCGCGGGGTCGGAGAACCACGTCTTGACTGGGTCGCGCGGGCAGTGGTCGAGGCCATCGTTGTTCTTCGTGGTAGTGGTGGTGAGGATCGAGCAAATGCTGGAATGAAGGGCAGAAGGCGCGCCAAAAAGACAAAGATCGTTCTCAAAAACACACAACGAGCAGAGAAAAACCGTGAAATTGACACGCGCGTTTCGGTTTCGCGCGAGCTATGACTCGGCGAGTGGGGTCCACCACGGGATGGATCTCTCCGTACGCAGCTCCCTCCCAACGACCCAGTGCTGGGGCCAACTCCCGCGCATTCAGGCGTAGCGCTACGTATGCGAAGTCTTTGTGTCATAATGAAGATAACGCGGAACACGTTCATATATATATATATATAAGTTCAAGCACAGCGCCTCGCCCAGAGTGCTCAGAGGAGCTACCACTATTCGATACAAAAACAAAGGTTTATGGTTGTCTTCATGGCCCCCAATGAAGGCGTAAATCATCTAGTTGGAGGCTTGCGTTGTACTACACACCATATTCATGCTTTTCTTAGCTGGCTAAGCCTCATTGCATCGTGCAGTTCGATGTATTTACGAATTTATTGCCTGTCCAAATTGGGTCCATTCGCAACGAAGGCGGTTGGGTGCGCTTAGAATTGTATATGCCACCTCTCCCAAATTCACTTCCAAATGCGTCGAATGTAAATCCTTCAAGAAGAATTAAGAAACGAGTTCGTCGTTGTGTGGCGCATCATATTTATTGTCTTGAGATCATAATGGTATCAACATTTTGTCAGTTATGCTCGTGTATAGCGATGTTATGGCTTGTCCAGATTTGAAGTGGCGTTGACATAGACATGCTCAGGGTATTTGATATTTCAAATGCTAAATCCACGCAGATTTGTTTTTACATACACAACCTTCGAGCTACGATCCCGTATAGTTTATTGCAAGTGATTCGCTTTTGCTACCTGCTTGCTGTCCCCCTGCTTGTGCACAGTACTGGTACCAGCACAAAGCCATGACTCATGGCTTTGTGACCGGATACGGCCGACCATTTATCCGAGCAGTCTGCGACTGCACTTTCGAATTCAAGATGGACCAGCAAAAGCTCAAAAGGAACCTCCTCCCGCGCAATATGAACCGCGTCGACTACTGTGAAGTGGCCAGCGACGAAAGCGGTGGCAGCGGCAGCGACAGCGACGGAAGCGGCGGCAGCGACAGCGACGGAAGCGAACAAGACGACCACGACGTACGCTCTGCAACTGCAAGACGACCTCTCGTGACGTCAACGTTCACCACGTAGGCCCACATGCGTCGCACCGATGCTAGCGAAGCGAAGGAGGAGGGCGACGACTGCGGCGTCTTATACGACAGCGACAGCGACGACAATGATGCGCTTCTGAAGTTGTTTCGGCAAAAGGTACCGCCGACGATTGACCGCGGGGCCAAGATGGTAAACCCAACGCGAGTCCTCGTGGCTGTAACGTGCGTCCCATAGGGCGCTGAGTCTTGGTCTGTCGGCCAGTATGTGGTTTTTTATATGCTCCACAAGCTGGTTTCGATGTTCGTGCATAATGGGATGTACAACGTCATCGCGAAGGCGTTCGGCGTTGTGGGCGACGAATGGCATGCAATTTTCGAAATGAGGTGCGTTGCACTTGCTCTATGGGTGATTCGACGTGTGGGCAGATATCAATGCATCAAACGAAGCTTGAAGCACAGAGAAGACGAGGCGTTCGAAGCCTCGGAGCTGAACCTACTCTTGCATCCCGGCAAGTTGACAACTTTCAAGGAGCTCGAGAAGCAGCTTCCTGAGTACTGCAACATGTCGAAAGGTTCTTGTCGCCTATCGATGTCGTGTCGCTAGGAAGAACCCAAGAAGTATCATGCGCGAATTTATTCGCATACATGCCAAGAAGACCGCAAACGCGATGCAGTCACGTTTCCCAAAGCTGACTCGCGTGCCCAAGCACGCAAAAGCCGCCCAACCGAGCGACGGCCACACCGACCAAGTCGCCGATCTGTCACCGCCGCAATGGGTACAAAGCGTTCATAAGTACGTACTCTGACGCGCCGACGTAGATCGATGACCGAGCTGAGATCAAGAAGCAGCGTTTGGCCATGGGTCCAAAGCCATGCCCGCTCGACAAGTTCTGGTACTTTTGCGACGTTGTCAACGAGTATAAGGACAAACTCGCCACCATAGTACGTGCGACACATTGCTCGTTAGTGTGCGTAATGTCTTGTAGACGAAGGGCGGCGGCTGGACTCTCCTCCAAGACTTCCACCTGATGATTGCGGTGCATGTGACCAACACCAACTGGGACCGGGTCGAGGCGCTTGTCAACTCCAAGGACTCGCGTTGGGGCACCACCGAAGAGAAAGCGAAGCAGAGGTTGGTGCATGGCCAAAGGAGTATACTGATGTGGCTCGCAATCGCCTAGATACAAGGCCCTGGGTCATTACAGGGTGCCAGAGGGTGTCAAGCTTACCATCGCCGAGTCCGAATGGCTCAAGAAGAACCTGGCGGCGTGGCCAGACGCCTACCCCGACAAGTCTTTCGACCAGCTCATAGATGACATCAAGACGACTAAGCCCGAGTATTGCAAGTTCAAGAAAAGCGAGTTTCGAGATTGGTTTGCTACGGCCAAGGTCGCGTGGCTGCTTCGACCCCTCGTCCCTGCCAACGCCAACCGAGGTACCAGTGTCTTGCGACGACGACAAGAACCGAATAAATTATTGAAGGCGCCACGACCGAGCCATCGCTGACGACGGCCAACCTCGTCCGCGGCAGAAACAAGGGTGCGGTATCACCACCTAAGACCCAAGGCCCAACCAAGAAGGCCCGGCGACGGTAGGATCATGTCATTTCCATATTCTCATGTCCAAGCGCTAGCCGTCCTCGCGGCTGCAACGATCTCGCGCAGCAAGCTCTCGGTGTGTTTGCCGTGTACCTGCGCTTCTTCCACACTCACACCGAGCCGATGTTCGGGATCGAACGTCGGTGGGACGAGGATATGTCGAAGGTCCCCACGCCTACGGAAACAAGTCTCGGCAAGAAGGCGAAGCTGCAGCAGGCATTGAGCAAGCGCAAGCGTGCCGACCAATTGCAGTACCAAGAAAGACAGTAAGTAAGCGTACGGGTAGCATCACTCGAGTAAGACGATTATTTGTAACGTGAACGACGTATTCCTCTTCGGGTCCTGAATGCGTACCAGTACATCCATATTTGGGCAGCAATCCGTGAGTTCGTCCTTCACTCACGGATTCGTCGCACAGATTCACGACGAGCTAGCTAAGACTACCGCGCAGCTGCGAAGCGGACCTTGAACGACATGTAGAGAAGTCACCCAGGTCCACTTCGATACCTACTCCAAGCTCATCATCATGACCGCCACGAAGGTTTCTTTCGCAAGCATCATTCGGGACCACCATTCTGTCGAAAGCGGCTCGTGCCAAAAGCAGAGATTTCCCGCTGGAGTCGTTTTTCATGGCGTGTTTTTAGAGTGGTGATACATACCATACAGACATGTCAAAAGAAACACACAGTTCAAAACCCAAGTGCCCCCTTTTGTCACAGATGTGCACCGCCGATTTGCCATGCCCGCGGGCATTGGCGCGCCAGCACATCGGCTTCGCCGAGCCAGTCGTTGTCGCAGCTCTTGGCGCGAGCAACGGACCGCGGCTTGTTGGCAAAGAGCTGCGCCTCGTCGAATGCTGCGTCGAGCGCACGGCTCTTGCGCTCTGCGACCACCGAGACAAGTCTTACGAGCCCGTTTCTCGGTATGACCTCTGGATGGTGATTGCGACGACGACGTTCGATGCGTTCTACAGCTTATCAACAACGACTAAAAGCCGTGCATCCCTGGCGCAGCCCTTGGCACTCCGCGCCTGTCGCCTTTTAGGCTGCCACGTCGTGTGTGCGAAGCCGCCGACGTCAAGCAGCGCACGCGACGCGTCAGACGTATCGCAGCACGACGAAGGGAGCTGGAAACGAGCGCGCGCGTCCTCAAGACATGTCTGCAACTCCTAGCGAGTGTCCGTGACGCTGACAAGCACTCTCGGATGCAGTCGGCGCGCATCGTTGTCGAAGCTCGGCTCGTTTCAATCTCGTGCGTCAGCGAGCAGCTCGTCACGTGTTGGACTCTGCGCTAGCGTCGCCGTGTTTCCTCACGGTCCTCAACGTTTATCATTGTCTCTTGCGCACATGAGAAGAAGACCTCTCTCATCTCGAAGACGACGTCCAAGACATGGCGCAATTCTCGCTTCGCGGGTTTCTCGGGATACTGATCCCTCGAGCACTTCCTCCATGCGGCATTGGCGGCGCGGCTTCAGCGGGCCAAGCAGCTCCAGCGTCCCCGACTCATTCTCCGCGTGAAGAAGAACATCAGCCCGACCATGCGCGGCTGTTTCGGCATTGGTGCGATGGCGACGGCTCGACAGGCAGCGATCAGCAACGTCAAAGCCCATCACGCGGTCAGCGTTCCAGCACGAGGTAATTCCTCAGCGTCTTAGGCGAGTGGTTGAGGCGCCCGCGCGTCGCACAATGTTTCGTCCCATGGTATGCTACTGCTCCATGCAAGTGTCAACGCCCAGGCGCTTGCTCTGCACTTCAACACCGGCAAAGCCGTGAACTACTTGGAGGTCGCCAACCAAATACGCTTCTTCCCTTTTCAGCTTGCGTGTCGGAGGTCAGTTTGCAAAACGTCATTCCTGTCAAGTGAACTAGACTCGTTCGATTTCGACACTTGCCCTCGTAATATAATGTGGCTAGTGCGCCGACCCAGTGTCTGCCGTTCGTAGCACTACGGTATCATTGGTGGTGCGCGGACACATTGACACAAGCCATGACATATATTGAGTTGCACTACTTTTCAGCTGGACGGCGTGACTTCTTTTGGTCGAAGTGGACGTTGCAAAGGCGGTCTTTTGTGATAGCAACTTTTTCACACCCGGCTTCGGTGCAGGTCGCGCAGCTATGTGTGCAGCAGCGACGCAGACCAGAGACCCGACCCTCGGTCCGGCACCCGGAAACGCTGCACTTCTTGTAGATCAAGGCGTAATCGAGCGTCTTTGCTGCGTAAAAGGTACGTCCATCCTCACGGCCGTACCATGTCATGTCCGCGCAGTTCTGGAAGCGCCCCGAGGCCTTCATGATGGTGTTGTACTGCTCCGTAGCCGTGTTGTCGACGGGCGTGGTCGTAGGAATCGCCTCGACAAAGGCCTTGATCTCGTTGAGGTACTCGTACATCGTCTTGTCGAGGTTCGCTCTGGCTTCGTCCATGTACTTTGGTTTGACCTGGGGGTAAAACGCGAGCATGAGGTTGATACCGAGCAGCATACGCGGCTTGAGGGCCGCCAGCAAGTTGTTGTCTTGGGGCAGCTTGAGCTCGAGCCAGACGCATGACTCCTTGCATAGCAAAAAGACCGCGTCGCACACAAACTCGTCGACGACGTAGACGTAGAGTGTCGTGACGTCACCCGGCGTAGTGTCGTCACTCGTGCTCATCCCGTCCTTTTTGGACCTGTCTTTCTGGTGCGGATGAAAGTCCTTCTCTTCGACGCGCCGAAACCACGGCACGAGAGCTTTTGGAAGCCCGCTCCAGATTAACTACAGAAATACAAGTATCAGTGCCGCGGTCGTGAGATAAGAGTACTTACGTCAATGATGAAAGGCTGCACCATCGTTGTCGGCTCGTTCGAGAACCAAGCTTTCTGGGCACGTTTGAGCTTGTTGTTATAATCTTCAGGTGCGGGGTCCTGAAGGACGGCCGACGATATGCGCAGACGCCGGCGCTCTTTGAAAATCGGGCCACGCGACCTGCCGCCACCCGCCTTGCCGCCAACGAGCGTGTCGCCCATGATCGTTTTGCCACACAGCGCGAGCAGGCGCCGCAGGTCTTCGTGTTCTGCGATGATCATGACCGCCTTGAACGCGTCGACGCCTTCGGGTATCTCTAGCGCCGGCGCGAGCTCGGAAAGTATCTCATCACAGCGCGACGGGTCTTTGGTCATGCTGAAGACGCTCCATTTCACCATCGCAATCCAACGACGGTCGAGACGCAACGACTCGTCGAACGAGTCGCGCTTCTGCGGCTTCCCGGCTGCTTGCGCGACCATGCGCAACTCGAGGTTCAGTAGCCGCGTCCTGATCTTGTGCTCCGTGCTCGGCACACGGGTCGGCGTCACCGGGTCATTGGCCGGCGAAGAGATCGAGTTGGCCTCGTCCGGCGTCCACTCGTCACTGAGCATGTCGTAATCGTAATCGTCAAACTCGGACGACACGCAGCTCGTGCGTCTACGCGATGTTGCAACACGACGTGAGGTAGTGTGAGTACGACGTAAATGGTACCGCTCAGGTGTCGGCAAAGATGGCGCCGAGCGGCCATCTCTCGTGTAGAAGGCCAAGCAAGCTCGTTGGTTTTCGAGCGTGGGTGTGGCGGTGGTTACAAACTTCGCAAACCCGTCGCGGAGGCACAACCAGGCATTGACGTCTTGAACAAGCGCAATGTACTGGGGCCTCACTTCACCTTCGCGGACGACGAAAGCTGTGAGGTGGTACGCCCCATCATGAAGCGTTGTTGTCAACTCGTCGCCCACGTTGACTTCCCACACGAGCACGTCATGCGTCGGGGCGAGCATCGGCTTGCCCCAGTGCTCCTTGTTGCCAAAGATACGCTCGGGGACAGCCGTCGAGAAGATCTTCGCCATAAGCCACGTGAAATACGCCATGGGCTCTTGGGGTTCGCCACGGTGCGTGCCGAGCACCAAGTGCTTGATGCCAAACTTTCCCACGTTGTCACCACGAATGTCGACGAGCAGCGCCGCAAGACTGATCGCAAAGGCGTGGTTGCGAACGGCGTAGATCGAGTCGAGGAACGGCATGACGTGGGCGAGACATTCAAGCGTCGCCGTTGCGTAACTCGCTGGCGCAAGGTTGGACGGCAGTGCGCCACAAATGTCCCAATACGCCGAGTTGGTCGGGGGCACCACCAGCGGCGCTTGCACATGAGAACGTGCGGTCTCGGAGCACATCTGGATGCGAGCCTTGATATCCTCGATTTGCCATTTGATGAAGGCGGCCTCGGCTGCATTGCCAGCGTCGGGCGCCGGTACGTCGTCACCGGGCGTGCTTGCCGGCTCTGACGGCGGCGTGTCGAGGTAACGGGCCGGCTTTGACGGCGGCGTGTCGAGGCTGCGGGCCGGCTCTGACGGCGGCGTGTCTTGGCTGCGGGCCGGCTCTGACGGCGGCGTGCCTTGGGCCGGCT